GCCAAAGAGGCCCCGACGCGCGCACTAAGACGGCCCCAGAGGGCCCCAAGACAGCCCATGACAGACCCCAGGCGGCCTAACAGAGCCTCAAACGGCCCCCCAAGACAGTCCCATGAGGGCCCCAGGAGCTGCCCAAGACGGCCCAAACCGAGCTACCAGACGGCCCCAGACCCCGACCATGGCCCCAGGATGGCCCCCCAGACGGCCCTAAGAGGGGGGCCCCAAAATGGCCCAAGAAAGCCCCGCAATGGCCCATGAGGGCCCCAAGGAGTGTTCAAGGAGAACTACTCCGAGGTGCTCTAGAGCCTCCCAAGAGACTCCGAAAGTTGCCACGGAGCTCAAGAGAGAGCCTCCAGCCCCATCACTTGTCGCCGATTCTGGATTCCCCGAAGCCACACAGAAAGCCCCAGACCCCCAGAGAGGCCCCAGACCACTCCGACATGCCCCAAAGCCTTAAAGAGACTCCCACAGCTGCCAAGGAGCCCCCCAAAGAGCCTCCAGCCACGGCACCTTTAGCCGTTGCTGGAACCCCAGAGAAAACCCCGAACCCCAAACAAGGCTCCAGACAGTTTCTCTCCCTGTTGTCCTCTCGTCCCCTCCTCCCAGTCCTCCTCTTCCTTCTCCTACTCCTGCTCCTCCTCCTCCTCCTCCTCCTCATCATCATCATCCTCATCATCATCGTTATCAGCATCATCAGCAGCATCAGCATCAACATCGTCAGCAGCAGCAGCTTCATCATCATCATCATCATCATCATCATCATCATCATCATCATCATCATCATCAGCATCAGCATCAGCATCAGCATCAGCATCAGCATCAGCATCATCAGCATCATCAGCATCATCAGCATCAGCATAAGGCCGCCGCGCCCTCCGACCTTCTTAAGGAGTAGCGGCCTTTCTGCAACGCCCTCCCCGCCAGCCCCAGAGGCGGAGGGCCCGAAAATACCCCGCACACCGCCATGTCGCCGCGTGGTGCTCCAGCGCGCGGGCGCCGCGCACCAGCCGAGCACTGCCAGAAGGCCTGGCACCACATGACCTCGGCGGATGAAGCACGTTGTAGCGCCCCCGTGGTCGGGCGGCGCTCACGAGCTCAGGCGCGCCGTGATCGGCTTCGACGGCGCCGCTTCCGGATGGGTGCTGCCGCTGGCCTTCCGCCAGGACTTGTACTACGACAAGAGGACCGATCGGATCTAGGACATGCAGATGACTTGCCGCACACCGCCGTCGTCACCGATGAGGTGCCAGAGCTCATCCTCGAGGAGAGCTTGCACGAGAGCACGCAGTTCACGTACGATTTCTCTTAGACTGTTGAGGAGGAGCTGCGCTACGGGGCCGAGCTCAACACGAACCAGCCGCTGGACATGTACGCCGAGATGGTCGAGACGAACGGCGACGATCTGATGTGCTGCCACACCTCGACATCAAGGGGCGAGGTCAACCGTTCGAAGGAACGCGAGATTGTTGACACCTGCTACGCTGACACGGACGATCCTTCCATGACCGACTCCAACTATGCCGAGATGGCCGAGACGAACGCCGACTACAAGCAGTTCAAGTGCGATTTCTCCCACATAGGCGAGGAGGGGCTGTGCTACGAGGCCGAGCTTTACACGAACCAGCCGCTGGACGGGTACGCCGAGATGGCCGAGACGAAGGGCGACGGGCTGATGTGCTACCACACCTCGACCACAAGGGACGACATCAGCCGCCCGAGCGAGCATACCGACTCCATCGATGAGTTGATCCCCGTCGACATCCGCGACGCCATCAACCAGGCCATCGCCATCCAGATGACTCGCCTCACGGGCACCAGCGAAGAGATCGCATGCTCGGCCGTCGAGCGCGCGTTCGACGCCACCGTTTCTCACCCCTTCTGGGAGCAGGACGGCGCGCTGATGGTTGTCAACTATTTGGCTATCGATTACAGCAACGACCTTGACGCGCACCGCGGGCCCCACTGAGCACGCACACGCATTGCTAGCGCCTTTTGCTCAGTCCCAGTTTTTTTTCAGCCACGCCCGTGCCCGAGAACCCACGCTGCTATAGTCGATGCGGACAAAGGCCTCGGCTTCCATTCGCTGCATGGTCATGTATCGAGTGTCAGTTTATGCAGAATTTCCTTCGTCGCCTGGCTAGCGGTGCGCAGGGCGCCTCCCTGTGCAGCGCCCACGATGACGGGCCCATGCGGGGCAGTGCGGAAGCATTGGGTGCTCTCTGCGACGGACCCTCGATTGCACGCCACTATTTTCACTCTGTGTGTTGTTTGGTCTTGACGTCGGGAAAAAATCGTCATCATCATCATCATCATCATCATCATCTTCGCCGTCATCAGAATCATCAATATCATCATCACCACCGCCATCGCCATCACCATCTTCGCCATCACCATCATCAGCACCAGCATCAGCATCATCACCACCATCACCATCATCATCGTCGTCATCAGCATTCGCATCATCGTCATCATCACTATCATTATAATCACCACCACCACCATCATCATAACCGACAGCAGCATCAATTATTTTCCTTGTAAAGAAGTGCTCCCTGTTGCACCCCCAGGCGCGTCGGAAGAGCGGGCCGGGCGTTTCGTTTAAGACGTCCTCACCATGTATGACCTTGAAACTTAAATTTCGCAACAGTTCCATGGGCGGAAGGCGAGTCGTTTTCAACATGATGTCCTCGCTTCAGCGCCGCGCGCATATGTTTTCAACGTTTAATTGCTTGCAGCAATGTCAAGGATGCAGGGTTGGCCTTTTCCAAAATGCGGAGCTCGCCTCGGCGGCGAGCACTTGTGTTGATCCGCGGGCACAAGCGAGCAGCCGCTGGTCGAGCACGGCGCGGGGCGCACGGCACGCGAATGCGGCGCAAGGACGGAGGACAGACAGGCTCCAGCGCGCGGGGAGCGGAGGCCGCACTCAGAACAGGAAGTCCGACAGCGGGTGCTGGGAGCGCACGACGAAGTGCAGGGCGCGCACAGTAAGGTAGTCCACGATGCCAGGACGCGGAGCCGGAGCCAAGTCCGCGGGATGAGGCGCACCCAGGGAAGGAAACAGCAAGCCAGTTGGAGTTTCCGCACACAGCGTCGGGGAGACCAGGTGCAGACCAGAGCCCAGGGTGGAGGGGCTGAGTGGAGGGGCTGACCCGCCATGGCATCAAGCAGCGACGACCAGGCTCGGCTGAATCTGGCGCTGCGAGGCAGGCGCGAGGGCCGCGCAACCAAATCGAAGCTGAACCGGGTGGACGAGCGCCCAGGTAGCGACCACACAGGGACACGGCCGATGAGGTGAGCAGGCGCAGGCGCCAAGAGGGCACGGAGACCGTGCGGAAAAAGGCCGTGGACAAAATGAGCACGACCAGGGAGGCCCCTCTCGGTGGGAACAGACGACTCAACTGGAGGGCCCCGCCGGGAACACCAGCGCCGGGCTAGGCCGCGCAGCGCGGGGCAACCCAGGGCCTCTTGGACCATCTTGTGGGCCTCGTGGGGCCCTCATGGCCTGTCGTGAGGCCCGTGGCGCGTTCAGCCGGAGCTGGCCGGAACCCCCCCTTCAAACCGACCAGACCGGGCCCTGGGGGGAAGGGTTTGGGGAGGGGGGGGGCATCTAACACGCCGATGACCCCAAGGGGTCGGCGGACTTACCTGGGTTTGGGGTGTCGGTTCCATCGATCCACATTGCTGTTCCTCCGCAGTCATCCAGGCTCCCCTCCCTTCTCGAGCCACCTTGGGCTCGCCATCCCTTTTTTTTGCCTGGGTGTGGTTTCAACGAGAGGCGTTTCGAGATATCCGCCTCTAGAGCTTTGGATCCGAGTCACTTTGACCAGCGAGCTTAGTAGAGAAAACAATTCCCCGCTAAAACCAAAGGTAAGTCATTGATGTTCCCACGGCTTTGCAAGACTTTGGCCTCCTGGGGGGGTCCCGAGGGGGCTCCGAGAGCACTTGGAATCGTCTTGTTGCCTTGGGTATGTCGGAAGCTGTCTTGAACCGTCGTCGGCTATTTTGAGCCCTCTTGGAGCGTCGGAGGCCCTCTTGGAGGCATCGTTGACCACCGTTCGGCCTCACGCGTCGCGAAACCATTCCCCAAAAACTTCAGGGAGGGGGGGGTAATCCTCCCAGAAGGGAAGAAGTTTTGAGAAGGGGAAATGAATATCTCGTTCGATGACCTTGGCCTTAAGGGCTGGCGGGATATGTTTATAGGGGCCCGTGAAAACGGAATTTGAAAGGAGGGTTTGTTGGAACATCGTTGGTGCGCCTTGGGTTTGCATTGGTCCTCCTCCTCCTCATCCCCCACTCTGAAGTGAGCTGGGATACAGGCGAGAGGTAACAAGCGTTTGTCCGCGGCCGTTTGTGCTCAAGCGGCCGGCCGCCTATATCTGATTATACCTCAGGGCAAGGTGCACGTTTCGCCATCGAGACCGAAAACATCCTTCGCTTGAGATGGCCCGTCGCTCCCGCGAAGATCTCCTACGACTGGGACTATTGCTACTACGATACAACAGAGCATGAGCTGTGGTTCGCCTAAGGCGTAGCTTCTGGTCGGGCCTACCGGCCCCCTTCAAACTCCCCCTCCTCCTCCTCCTCCTCCTCCTCTTCCTCTTCCCTGGGAGCCTCCACACCCTTCTCTCTGGTGCCGCTCTCCTCCTCCTCCTCCTCCTCCTCCTCCTCCTCCTCCTCCTCCTCCTCCTCCTCCTCCTCCTCTTACTCTTCCTCCTACTCCTCCTCTTCCTCTTCCTCTTCCTCCTCTTCCTCCTTCTGCTCGCCTTCCTTCTCCTCTTCCTTCTGCCCCTCTGCCTCTAGGGGCATCCACCGCTCGCTCTCTGGTGCGGCTCTCCCTCTCCTTTTGCTCGTGTCGGCGACATCTACGCGCTGGGGGCCGGCATTTCGACCTGCCTGCCGTGTACTTCCAACGAGCACACACACAACTCAGCTACAATGCTGGGATCAGCGCGTGCGAGAAGGGCGGACATTGGCCGCGGGCGCTGGCGCTGCTCAGTGAGATGCGGGGGGCGGAGGTGATGCCCGACGTCTTCTTACCTACATGGCAGGCATACGTGCGTGCGACAGGAGCCTGGGCCTGGAGATCCACGGAACCCAAAGTCGCCACGGGTCGTTCCCGGGCCCTCCACATGTCGCGCACAGACAGCCGAAGACAGCTCCCAGATCCGCCCGAGACGCCCCAGGACTGCCCCGAGAAGGCCCCGATGAGAGCCCCAACGCGGCCCCAGAGTGCTCCGCGACAGTGCCAGGAGCGAGGGGAAGGCATCCTGCCGGGCGGTCCCTGGGCGCTCGGGGGGGCGAGGGCGATGTTTCCGCGAGGGTGGCGCGTCAGAGCACGTCCGCGGCCCCAGGCCCGGGCGCTGCGGCCTCGGCACCCCGGCCGCGGACGTGCGTTCTGCTTCCTCAGACTGGCTATCAGATGCCGACCCAGTTTGGCCGAGTTCTGGTGTTCCGCTCCGCTCCTTCAAGCTAGACCTAGCGTAGTTCAGTTTAGCCGGACATACATCTTGCTCCTTCGAGCTGGACATCAGACACCAGCCTAGTTTGGCCGATTTCTGGTTTGCATGCGAGTCTAAGTTTACCGAGGCAGGGCCTGAACATCGAGTGCACATCCCCGGAGCGCTGCTGAGATGATTGAATTTGCTGTGGCCGCTGCTGCTGCTTCCGCCACGTGCCGCTGCTGGAGCACCGCGGCTGCATTTTGGTGGACGCGGCTTCCTGGCCCTGCTCCGCCACTGCCGTCGTCGGCGTGCCTGCTCCTCCTCCTCCTCCTTCTGAGGAGGAGGAGGAGGAGGAGGAGGAGGAGGAGGAGGAGGAGGAGGGGAGGAGGAGGAGGAGGGGAGGAGGAGGAGGAGGAGGAGAAAGAGGAGGAGACAGAGGAGGAGGAGGAGGAGGAGGTTGTCATGCCTGTGCGTGTTGCCGTGCACCCTCTGTTCTTCGGGCCTCTGGGGCCCCGGGAGTCTCTGCGGACCTCGGTGACCTTGTTGGCCGATCGTCGGCGTCGTCGGCGCGAGGGAGAGGAGGAGGGAGAGGAGGAGGAGGAGGAGGGAATTTCCCAATATGGGCGCATCTCAGACGTATCCTGCAGGAGCCGACCCCGGGCCACCTCCTGGAGCGATCCCGAGGCTGACCCTGGACTGACCCCCGGATTGGCCCCAGGCTGCTCCCACACTGACCCGGGAAGGACCCTCGACCCGGGACTGGCCCCGGACTGAAGCCCGGACCGACCCAGGAATGACCCCGGACTGGCCCCCCAGACTGACCCGGGACTGACCCAGGAATGACCCCGGACTGACCCCAGACTGAGTCCAGACTGACCTCGGACTGACCCCGGACGGACCCCGGACTGACCCGGGACTGACCCCGGATTGACCCCGCCTTGACCCTGGACTGGCCCGGGACTGACCCGGGACTGACCCCAGACCGATCCCACTTGGGAGTGGCCCCAGATTGACCCCAGACGGACCCCAGACTGACGCCGGACTAATCTCGGACTGACACCTCATGTACGTAACCAAATCATATGGTTACGCGCGAAACTGTTGCGCCTAGCCAAAACGCGAAACATATGGTTACGATCGACCCCTCACACACAATAGAGCTATCAAAATGCATGGAACACCTCTGTAACCAAAATCTTCGCGGGAAGATGTTTGCGTAACCAAATCGTAGCCAGATTTACCGTTTTCGCAATTAAACCATGACCGAAAACCATCAATCGTACTCAAATCGTAACCAAATTTTGACCAAATCGAACCGAACATGATCGACATTCCTGATTGGGGGGTGCAAGGCGGCGAGGATGACAACGAAAATGAGCACGCGGAGAAGTAAAGAACGAAGAAGGGAGCGGGAGCAGAAACAGGACTTAGGGACAAAGGGACGCCGTGGAAGACGAGGAAAAGCGAGCGACGAGGAGGGAGTATTGATGGCGAGGAGGAGACAGAGCGGTATCAGGTGGGGCAGGACGAGGAGGGATATGATTCGCACAGGGAATTGGAACAAAGGACACGCAAGCACGAGGAGGGTTGAGAAGCGAGGGGTGAGGACGAGGAGGAGGAAGAGGAGGAGGAGGAGGAGGAGGAGGAGGAGGAGGAGGAGGAGGAAGGGGAGGAGGGGGAGGCAGAGGAGGAGAAGGAGGAATAAGAGTAGGCATGGGCGGAAGCACGGCGAGAGCACGAGGGCCGAATAATGGTATTGACGCGTTGATAATTTGCCGCCAGGCTTCAGGGTTAGAGCCAGGAGGTTTGGAAGGAGGTTTTGAAGGAGGCCCAACTTGACAAGCACGAGGATGAGGCTTGCAGGGAGTATTTTTGGGATGACAACGTAAGAGAAGGCTTGGAGGAGAGGAGGGGGCTTGAAGAGGGAGACTTTGAACCAGGAGTAGGCGCGGAGAGACATGCTTGGAATTCGGAGGTGGTTGGGATGAGAGCGAACACGATGAGGAGGTTGAACTATCAGAGACGACGTGCCTTGGGGCCTGCACGGACGAGGCGGGAATCTACGGTGGAGGGTAGTGTTTGGGGGGTACCGTCCTCCATCCTCCCTCGCCTTTTCCTTGCTCCCGCTTCCCTCCGCCCCCTACCCGTTCTCTCCCCGGCTTCCCTGCTCATTCTTCGCCATTCCGTCCCTCCCCATCTTAACAATTCTCCCTCCTCCGCCCTCCCCACTCGCTCCTCCTGGCCCAGGCCCTCCCCTCATGCAAGAGTGCCCCTGCTCCACTCATCTCTCCTCCCCCCTTCCGCCTCGCAACCCCGTCCTCCCCATCTCAATCCAACTCATGCCCTGTTCTCCTGTCAACCTGCTACGCGTCCCATTCACTGTTCCTTTTCGCATACCGCACTTGCCCTCTCCTACTCCTCCCCCCTGCCTACTCCATGCTCGCTGAGCCTGAGAGGAAGTTCCCGAAGGCTCCGAATCGGGTTCATCATCCTGTTCCTTTGTATGATGAGATGTTCCCCCGCCACCTCCTTTCGAGTCTCCTCCTCCTCCTCCTCCTCCTCCTCATCATCATCATCATCATCATCATCATCCCCCTTCCTTTTCCTCCGCATCCTGTTGCATATTTCCCCACTCCACCCCACCCCCATCCCAAGCTTGGACAACTCTGGCATGGTCCTTGCGCGGCTCGGCGCAGGAGTGTTGGCAAGCGGGCCGTTGCTGGCGAAGTTCATCTATGACGCCTTGCTCCCAGCCGCTGGGCGCGTTACGAGCCAGCTGGAAATCACGGATATCGCCAAGTTGCCCGACACCGACGACCGCGGGCTGCCGTCGGAGCCAGCGGGGGAGGAGGAGGAGGCTTCGCCCATGCAGACCACGGGGGTAGAGTTCGAGGCCCTGAGCAAGCCAGTTGGTGGGGCCTTCCAGGCGTTTGTCGCCCATTGGCGTTGATGCGAAGGCTACGGGGCCGAGGTGGACAAGTTGTATGCGCGTGGGATTGGGCGTCTCGCAAAAACCAAGTTCGACCTGCTGACCGCGGAGGAGGGGCGTCCGTTCGAGGACTCGTACAACGCGGCGATGGCGACCTGGAGAGCCGCGCGCGCTGCGCGCCAGCGCCCGGGTCCAGCGCGCGCCGAGCCGCGCGCGGCCGCGACGAAGAAGCCGGTCGGGGGCGCCTTCCAGAAGTTCTTCGCCCAGTGGCGCTTGAGCGAGGGCTACGCGGAGGAGGTGCAGGGGCTGTGCGCGCAGGACATTGGAATGCTCGCCTCGGGCAAGTTCAAGGCGCTGACGGACCAGCGAAGGCGGCCGTTCCAGGACCAGGTCGACGCGTCGATGTCGACCTGGAGAGCCACGCGCGATGCGCACCAGCGCCCCGGGCAGGCGCGCGCCGAGCCCTTGGCAGCCACGCCGGAGAAGCCGGTGGGCGGGGCCTTCCAGATGCACGTCGCCGACTGGCGCCGGAGCGAGGGCTGCGCGGGGGAGGCGCAGGGGCTGAGCGCGCAGGACATGGGAAAGTCGCCTCGGGCAAGTTCAAGGCGCTGACGGACGAGGAGAAAAGACAATTCCAAATCCTGTTCGACGCGGCGATGTCGGCCGGCCTGGAGGGCCGCCCGCCTGCGCGTCGAGGACGCGGTCGACGCCGGCGCGTCGGCCGACGCGCCGGCGGCGCCGCTCGCGGCCGCGGAGCCCCCTGTGGGGCCCCCGCGGCCGTTCGTGGACATCTACGCGGAGTGCGTCGGCGCCGGCGGCTTGGGCCTCGGCGCGGCCCGCCCCTTTCATCGACCGCTTCGGGTGGGAGATCGGGAAGACGGCTGAGTTTGAGGAAGGATTCCTGCCAGAAGCCGGAGGGTTCGGAGGTGGCCCTCTTTGCCGCGGGGGCGCGGGTGGGGGGCGACGCCGCCTGGGAGGCGGCATTCCGCGCGCGCTTCCTCCGCTGCGAGCCAGCGGGGCGCGGGCGCGTGGATGGCGAAGGCCACCGTCGCGCCCGTCGGCGCTCGCCCGCGGAGGTGCGCGCCTACCTCCGCCTGCCGGACAAGACGGCCTACCCGGCGGGCAAATTGGCATACCTCTAGCACTTCGCCGGCATCGAGCCTGTCGCGACCGACAGCGCCGGCCGGCAGTTCAGGCTCAAGAGGCGCGGCGAGCAGAAGTGGATTCATTGGGCGCCCGACCGGATGCTGCGCGAGGGCGGCTTGCCCGCTGACTTGCAGCGGCCGCATTCGTTTTCCTTTGGGGCGCAGGGCGCCGAGCCGGCTCGAGCGCGGCGGGGATGTCGCAGTTCCTTGGGTTCCACAAGTGCCCGAAGTGCCAGTGCTGGTTCCCCGGGCCTTTGAGCTGCCAGCATTGGCTCCCCTGTGGCGGGCCGCGCGCGGCGTGCCCAGGAGGGGCGAGCAGCGCGCGGGCGCAGGTTGGCGCTTCTCGCGGCCTCCAGCCCGAAGGTCCCGCCGCTGTCGCCGACCCCGTCGAGGCCGCCGAGGTCGTCCAGGACGACGGCCCCGGGACCCCGCGGAAGGTGCGCAGGAAGCAGAGCGCGCTCGAGCAGGGTGCCAGGTGTTACGTGGGCGGTCGAGAGCTCGCCCCTGGCCCGCAGACGACAGATTCCTT